TGTCAAAAGTGGTGAGTTTAATATTCAATTTAAGAAGTATTGAGTTCCAGGAATTTGTGCCTCTCACAGAGAAGACTGCTTTACATTTGCTGCTCTGGTGGATCTGCTACAGCTCTGCAGTCTCAGGATGTATTTGAGGCTGAGAGGCAAGTCCATTTTAACATTTAAAGACAAGTTTTACAAAATAAAATTAAGATCTTGTATTTACCTAAAATTCCGCAATGATTGCATTTTATTTGCTTTTCCAATATTTTAAGGCCTGATTCTAAAAACACTATGGATTTAAATACTGCTGGTTGGCCAGGGAACAGGTAGTTAATGCATAGGACATACAGTATGTAAGAAAATCATTGAACGTACCGACACCAAGGTACAATCAGTGTGACCGAAGGCAGTAAACCACAGTTTATTGATTTTTACAGACTCACCGATGGCCATATCATGCAGGTAAAACTTCATCATCTCCTTTCTGTCGTCCATCTTCTCCTCAAGTGAAAAATTCAGATCACCGAAGTTTCTCAAGTTTTTCAATGTATGTCTGCTGTCTGTCTCTTCAAATGTTTATCTGTGTCAGAAAGAGGAACCAGCTAACCACAGTGTGTTCTGTCTCAGACAGAATTGTATTGACATTGCAATACATATACTATCTAAATGAGGAATCTTCCACCCTACACATTAGTGATCTTTACATATGCTGGCGTAATTTGTTTTTGTTTAGGCAGGGCCTTGCAAGCTGAACAAGCGAAGTGCAGTATACGTTCTCAACAAAATGTCATATCTCTATGAAGCCAAAATGCAAGAAATGAATTAACAAATAAAAATAAAAAGCATCACATCAAGCAATAGAATGCTTTTGTTATTAAGCTAACATGAACCAAACAAGCACGTGAAATTATTATTAAATATATCGAAAAACTCCTCCAAAATGAATTCCACTGACACTACTACAATGTATCAGACATCACCCTTCATGACAATGAGTAAAAGCAGACATTGCTCTGTATTAAAGGGTCAAAGCAAAAAAAGTTACAAACCACTGTTAGTGGAATGTTATTGACACTTTAAAAAAAAAAACAAAAACAAATATTAATTGTTCTTGACATAGAATTTTCAAAACAGAGAATGAAGAAACTCTATAACCAGGAGTTGAAGAAGAATTCCCACATGCGCAGTATGGCAGTCGCTGTGCGACCAATCCAATACATGTGATATACTAATACGCCTTTCCCCTCAGTATCTACATATATTGTTTCCGGATCGGTAACTCAACTATCAGCTATACATTAAATCAGTAGTGAATCAGTAACTGGAACAAAAAATTGCATTGGCATCTCCACTGATGCAAGTGTCAGGGGGAGTAAATGACCAGTGAAGACAAAAAAGATCAAAATTGGATAAGCTCTTGCGACAAATAGCACAGAGACAAAATATAAAAGGATGCATGTCCGGCCTTTTATATAAAATTTCTTTTTGATGATTTACATTCAGTTCTGCACATAATCTCTGTTTTGCGTCCTACTTACAGTACCTGGAAACACGAGAGAGACATGACCCCTACTTCCCCGCAGCTTGAACTCAGCCCTCTCCATCTGCTCTATGTCTCCTA